AGCAAGGTGTTAGAAAACCTGATACTCACCAGCCTACGGCCAGTCTTCTCGAGAGCGAGCCATCCACGGCAGTACGGATCCTCTAAAGGCAGGGGAACCGCAGATGCCCTGCTGAGAGTGCGCCGTGATGTCGAAGAGAAGGCGGAGAAGTATGTTATGCTCCTCCTGTTTGACATATCATCCGCCTTCGATAGCGTCTGGTGGCCGAGCGTACTCCTGCAGTTGCAAAGGCATGAAGCCCCCAGCAACTTGTATGGCTTGATCAGAAGCTATCTCCACAATGGGACATTGAAGATTAAAGGTAGCTTCTATGAAGTAGAAGGGGTTGTGAAAGGGGTTGTCCACAGGGCTCTGTCCTAGGCCCTGCCCTATGGAAACTGGTGTTTGACGAGTTGCTGGGAGTACTAGAACAGGAGCGGTTCCGCGCCACTGCATATGTAGATGACCTGGCTGTTGTAGTGGCCTCGAATAGTAGGGCCAGATTAAAATATGAAGCTGAACGTTGTGCCAACCTTGTAGAAGAATGGTGTGAGAGAAAAAAGTTAAGGATGGCGGGTTCCAAGACTCAGGCCATCCTCTTGAGAGATTCGACCGATAGGGCACACCCCATAACCTTGGTGATACAAGGTTCAAGAATATGTCCAAGTGAGGTAGTCACCTATCTTGGAATTAGGATTGGGAAAAAATTCAACGTGGCGCCTCACTTGGATTATTTACGAAATAGGATAACATTAGCCCTTAATGGTCTCAGTCGCATAGGGGGAGCCTTTTGGGGCCTTAGATATCCAGTAACTATGTCCATTTATAAAGGAGTAGTTGTTGGTATCCTGAGATACGCGTCCCCCGCATGGAACCGGAATCTCTCGTACCGTCAGAAGCGCAAGTTGGCAACAATCCAGCGGATGGCCATGCTTAGAGTAACCAGGTCATACAGAACTGTGTCCCATGAGGCGGTGCAGGTCTTAGGAGGAGGTATTCCTCTCGGCCTCCTCCTGCGGGAAGACCTTTATCGGTACAACATCAAGAGGGATGACTTGGTGGATTTACCAGCAAACATTCGGGAGAGGATTTGTGATGACCCCAGAAGATGGAAGATGATCCTCCGGGAGGATACATTGGAACAATGGAATCGGCGATGGGTGACAACCCCAAACGGGTCCACACTAAGAAAATTCTTTCCCACCATTAAATCGCGCTTAGAAAAGAAATGGGTCCTCCCGGATTACTGGGTCTCACAGATCCTCACGGGGCATGGGGGTTTCAGAGCGAAACTTTTTAAACACGGTAAAAATATCGAACCCTTATGCCCCACTTGTGGAGTACCTGAAACCGCTGAGCACATCCTTGTAGCCTGCACCAGCTATGAGGCACTGAGGGCTAAATTAATGAGGGATACAGGGCTTTTCGTTCTTACAGAAAGACGATTACCCCAACTAATGTCTGAACAAAACTACCCTCATTTTAAAAGTTTTGTATGCGGCTGGAAAAAAACTGTGGGCCCAACCCACTTCTCCCTGGGAAGGCGTGAAGAAGCAGTACCTGGAAGGCCGCTGATTAGGACAGGAGAAGAAGATGGAGGACAATAAACTAAGTGACAAAATTATCAAGCAGGCTATGTGCACAGCAATTTAAAAATGTAAAAATATAAACTTGCAACAGTGATTTGTTATACAATGTGTATCAAGTCACTGCTGCAAACTCCCGTATTGTCTTAAAGGCAGGGTAGGGAGGAAAATAAAATAAAATAAATAATATACGTAAGTGAAAGTAAAAATATTTAAAAACGCGATATCTCTACTAATAGTGCTTCGATTTCGATGAAACTTCTTTTGTTGTTTAGGCAATTTAAATACCTTTGAAACATCTTATTACAACATTCCCAAAAAAGCGTGTACTTTTTGAGTTATTCGGAATTTAATTTTACCATCCCTCGTAACTTTTTTTCAGCTTCTTTTCGCTGATGAATGTTATATAGATAAATTTGAAGGGTGTCGAGAAAATGACTTTAGCGAAGTTTCAATGAAATCGGTTCATTCGTTTAGGCGCTACAGTCTATAGCTACGTTTTTCTGCAATTTTATTTTTTTCTGCATTTTTATTTTTTTTCTCCTTTATTAACTTATCAAATTCTTTCAAAAGTTATATTTAGGATTTTTTCGTAACTCTGAATAATGCGAAATAATTATCTTTTTAAAATAAACCATATTAATGGTACTTTAGAGGAAGACGTATATGAACATTGGACATTTAAGCCCTATAAAGTGACATCAATGGGGATAAAACCTAATTTATATTAAAGACCACTTAATTATACAATGATACACCGAGTTTAATCAAAATCTTTAGAGCCGTTTTTGAGAAAATGTGTTTCAGCGTTGATATAAAGTGGCACTTCCGGTTAGCCGATTTTAAGGAAAAAGTTGCCGTCACAACTAAGGCATATACCTATCTTAAATACGTGATATCAGTTTCATAGGACTTTTCGTTTTTGAGCTAGACTGCTAACATACAAACACAAAGACACACAGACCATTTGTCGGGACTTGGTCATTTCGACTCAGGGTACCTCAAAACATATAAATCCGTCGAAAACTCAGATTCAAAAATTTTCTCGATCGCAATACTTACACTTACTATATATTACATATATATGTAAGTGAAAGTAAAAATATTTAAAAATCGCGATATCTCTACTAATAGTGCTTCGATTTCGATGAAATTTCTTTTGTTTTTTAGGCAATTTAAATACCTTTGAAACATCTTATCACAACATTTCCAAAAAAGTGTATACTTTTTGAGTTCTTCGGAATTTAATTTTACCATCCCTCGTAACTTTTTTTCAGCTTCTTTTCGCTGATGAATGTTATATAGATAAATTTGAAGGGTGTCGAGAAAATGACTTTAGCGAAGTTTCAATGAAATCGGTACATTTGTTTAGGCGCTACAGTCAATAGCTACGTTTTTCTGCATTTTTATTTTTTTTCTCCTTTATTAACTTATCAAATTCTTTCAAAAGTTATATTTAGGATTTTTTCGTAACTCTGAATAATGCGAAATAATTATCTTTTTAAAATAAACCATATTAATGGTACTTTAGAGGAAGACGTATATGAACATTGGACATTTAAGCCCTATAAAGTGACATCAATGGGGATAAAACCTAATTTATATTAAAGACCACTTAATTATACAATGATACACCGAGTTTAATCAAAATCTTTAGAGCCGTTTTTGAGAAAATGTGTTTCAGCGTTGATATAAAGTGGCACTTCCGGTTAGCCGATTTTAAGGAAAAAGTTGCCGTCACAACTAAGGCATATACCTATCTTAAATACGTGATATCAGTTTCATAGGACTTTTCGTTTTTGAGCTAGACTGCTAACATACAAACACAAAGACACACAGACCATTTGTCGGGACTTGGTCATTTCGACTCAGGGTACCTCAAAACATATAAATCCGTCGAAAACTCAGATTCAAAAATTTTCTCGATCGCAATACTTACACTTACTATATATTACATATATACGTAAGTGAAAGTAAAAATATTTAAAAATCGCGATATCTCTACTAATAGTGCTTCGATTTCGATGAAATTTCTTTTGTTTTTTAGGCAATTTAAATACCTTTGAAACATCTTATCACAACATTTCCAAAAAAGTGTATACTTTTTGAGTTCTTCGGAATTTAATTTTACCATCCCTCGTAACTTTTTTTCAGCTTCTTTTCGCTGATGAATGTTATATAGATAAATTTGAAGGGTGTCGAGAAAATGACTTTAGCGAAGTTTCAATGAAATCGGTACATTCGTTTAGGCGCTACAGTCAATAGCTACGTTTTTCTGCATTTTTATTTTTTTTCTCCTTTATTAACATATCAAATTCTTTCAAAAGTTATATTTTGCATTTTTTCGTAACTCTGAATAATGCCAAATAATTATCTTTTTAAAATAAACCATATTAAAGGTACTTTAGAGGAAGACGTATATGAACATTGGGCATTTAAGTACTGTAAAGTGACATCAATGGGGATAAGACCTAATTTATATTAAAGACTACCTAATTATACAATGATACACCGAGTTTAATCAAAATCGTTAAAGCCGTTTTTGAGAAAACTGTGAAAATGTGTTTCAGCGTTGATATAAAGTGGCACTTCCAGTACGCCGATTTTAAGGAAAAAGTTACATATATACGTAAGTGAAAGTAAAAATTAGCCAATGAAGGAAGTTTATATAGGATGATACAATAAAATATTTGTAAATTAAATTATATTATTAAGTGTAACATTTAATTATAAGGGGTAATCAACAGTTAACTTTTTTTTGTTTTTGTTTTTTTTTCCTTCCTTTTTTATTACTTTGTGACTGATAACCATCAACATCCGTTTGGCCGGTGTCTTCGTCAGTCAATATAGAGCAGTCCGGAGAAGATGACTCACCCGCCTCTAGAGCCCGATCAGCTAGTTGCTCTGCTGGTGGGAGAGGTGGTAGTGGACCGTGAAGTCCGGATAGAAGGATGAGGGAGGTTATTAGAAAGAGAAGAGAATGCGGGTGGCGGAGGGTTGGATGGGAGAGAAAAGATGGGTAAAGAGGTAGAGCTGGATGAAAGATAAGAAGTGGAGGAGGGTAGTGAGGAAGAAGGGATCAAAGAATTGGAAGGAATAAGAGAGGAAGAAATGGAAGGAAGAGTCGGGATGAATACGGTTAAGGCCATCGCCTCCGTTCCGACCGATGTTGAACGCGATCTTGTAGTCGACATGTCCTCTAAACCTTTAGGTGTAATTGTTGAAGTGGTAACAAAAGTGAAGTTTACTTGAACTCCTATATCTTTTTTTTCTGAGCATTTTGTGGCTTCTGCATATGATTTTAGGAATATACCTGGATTTTTTTTTCTTAAAATATTTTTTGCCTCTATATATAAGATCTTATTATTAGATTTCTTCTAAGACCTTAATTTCTTTTTGTAACTTAAAAATGGGGCACCTTTGGTCCAAGGCGGAATGATTCCCCTTGCAGTTAGTGAGTTTTCGGGGGCAATGAGCAGATCGAGCTATCGTGGTGTCGGGGCTGACCACAGTTAGCACATAATGCGGTTTTTTTACATTGTTTAGTCGGGTGTGAAAATCCCAAGCAATTATAACATCCAAAAGGTTTTGGTGTATAGGGTTCAACATTGACTGTCAAAAATCCTATTTTAAGTGTTTCGGAAGGCTTGGGGGTAGTAAAGGATAATATGTAGGTGTGAGTACATTTTTCTTAATTTTAATTCTTAAAATATCTGTTATATCTTTTAGTTCTTCCTTTATTTCCTCCATCGTTGTGAATTGCAGATCATAACATTTGATTACGCCTTTTGAATAATTTAGTGTACGATGAGGACTAACCTCTATTTCAAATCATAATGTTTCCGATTGTTTTGCGTTGGTGGTTTCAATTAACAAATTCCCATCTCTAAGTTTTCGTATGTTTTCAATACCAACAGCGTTAGTAATAACTTTATTAATAAAAAAAGGTGAAATATTTTAGAAATTGTCTTCACCTTTCCTACTCATTACTAAGTAACTTGGAGTTACATTGTTACGATTGTTATCTGATAGATTAAAGTTGTCGAGGGTAGATTTTACTCTGCCTCTTTTCCGCCGTTTTGAATGTTGACTGGGTGGATCAGTACCGTTCATGGTTAGGTTACGTAATTAATGTTTAAAAAAAAATCCAAGAATCAGTAAAAGAATTAGTAAACAATAAAGATATTTATAATTGTATATAATTATTAGATTAACTTCATTATTGTAGATAAATAAAGAATTTAGTAACCAAACAAAAATATGAAAAATAAATAAAACATTTTTGGGCTTATCTGGCTGAAGTTCTTCAACAAAGCAGCTCCGGCCTCTTCAAAGGTACTTTTGGCACTGAATGTACTTATTTTACAAACAATTAACTTAGAATTTACTTCTTAATAAGGCAAAAAACTGAGAGAGAAAAACGTAACCTTTACATATGGAACACATGTTTTTATTAGTTAGTATGTAAACAAGTCCGGAGACCCACCTCCGTCTGCACATGCAGTTCCTGCTCGACCTGCTTACCTCCGAGCCATTAATTTCAGCTCCTCATCACTCCATCGTACTTTGCTGGCCGGCAGGTTTACTTGTTCATTTGCCGCTTATTTGAGCGCCGCCCTGAAATGGACTCCCTGCCCCTTTTTGGAGGCAAAGGTACGTCTACACATTTGGTAAACGAATCCACCATCTTTCTGGGACGACGTCCCGACCACTGGTTCCCCTGGAGCCTGTTCCGCAGGAGGGACATTCTGTTGTGGAACGCCCCTTAAGTTATAACGTCAATCTTCTGTGTGCCTGTGGTTTGAGTCGGACACGGGCTGGCAACCCGTATCCGACTTAGAAGCCTCTTCCTTCGGTTGCCCCCTTCCGCACTGAGCAGGTAAGTAGGCATATGGCAGGGATGCCGCCTTTGGAGGGACCCTGCCACTTATGCCCACATGGTGATGGTGGACAGAGGGACGCTTTTCGGGATACATCCTAAGATCATTCCCAGGTATGCACCGAAGCCTTCTTCGTTAGCCTTACTTGTGTACGTTGCCCGAGTTGCAAGACGAGGACGTGAAGATAGGCACTTGGGACCATAGGTATCCTCCTTAACAATGTGCAGTTGGACTTATAAATCCTTTGCGATCCTAAGAAAGTCAGTTACTCCCGCCGTTTACCCCCGCTTGCTTGAATTTCTTCACTTTAACATTCAGAGCACTGGGCAGAAATCACATTGCGTCATCATCCCTTGGGGCCATCGCAGTGCTTTGTTTTAATTAGACAGTCGGATTCACCTGGTCCATGCCAGTTCTAAGTTGATCGTTCTATGGCGGCTGAAGAGCCTGCTGGCCCGTAGGCCAGAGAGCGCGTCAACTAGACAGCCGGAGGCTCGCAGCAAGGAAGATCCGTGGGTGGCCAAGGCACGGGACCGAGCTAGGGTCCGGGCGCGTAAACTCCTTTCACCTTGCCAGGCCCGGCACTGCTCCACTTCCCGACCAAGCCCAGCTCGCCACGATCCTCAGAACCAATCTTTATCCCGAAGTTACAGATCGGGTTTGCCGACCTTCCTTACCAACATCATTCTATCGACTAGAGGCTATTCACCTTGGAAAGCTGCTGCGGATATGGATACGAGCCGGCGCGGTGTTCCCTGTGGCCCTCGCCTGGGTTTTCAAGGTCCAAGGGGAAGATTCGGACACCGCAGTAAATGCTGTGCTCTTCACATTCCAACCCTATCTCCCTCCTAGAGGCTTCCAGAGAACTCGGACGCTTATAGAGAAGAGACAACTCTCCCCGGACCTCCCTACGGCTTCCTCCTAGACCTTTTATACCTCAAACATTTCGTCGATTGTTTTTTGCACAAATTCACAATTTAAATCACCCAGGTGTAAAGGTCACTGTCAAACAGGTTGGTGCTCGTTTTGTTTGGCCAGGTCTTAACAAAGATGTGCGTGATTGGGCAAAATCGTGTATAGCTTGCCAAAAGTCTAAAGTGATAAGACACACAAAATCACTATTTGGAATATTTCAACCGCCAGATGAGAGATTTTCTAATGTACACATCGATCTGATTGGCCCGTTACCTCCTTCAAATGGTAACATATATCTAGATCCTTTTACAAATTGGATGGAAGCTATACCACTGGCGGAAATCACTGCAGAAGTTGTCACCAGATCATTTTATGACAATTGGATTGCACGCTTTGGCGTCCCATCCTGGCTCACATTTGACCAAAGGTCGACAATTTGAGGCGAACCTATTCAGAAACCTAATTTATTTATGTGGAATTAAATTGCGGAGGACAACTCCTTACTACCCTCAATGTAATGGGAAAGTGGAATGACTTCATCGCACCCTGAAAACTGCTCTGAGAGCAAATGGTTCACTAAAATGGTCAGAAGCCCTATCAACCATTCTTCTGGGTTTACGAGCCTTATTAAACCCCGATACTGGTGTCTCCATTGCACAATTGTTATACAGCACCTCTATCAACTTGCCTGGCGAATTTCTTGAACTGCCAGCTCAACGTATAAACGATGCAGAAACTTTTATATCGCAACCACAAGACACTATGAGACAACTGAAACCTGTTCCAGTGAAGCTAAAGACCAAAGAGTCATTCTTCATTCACAAGAATTTGGCCTAAAGCCGGCTTATCTCTTGGCATCACCAGAAGAATCTGACCTTCGTTCAAAAGAACCTGACCAACATTCTGCACAAACTTCTCCTGAAGAGACTAATGAACCCTGTTCAGGTCTCAGTACCAGTAAACCACTGATGCAAACCACACGTAGTGGTCGTTCAGTGAAGTTTCTATCTCGGTACTTGGATGCAATTATTTTCTAAAGTTAAGATTGTATTTCAAGTCTTTGAGAAACATTGTCGCTACTGTGTTTCTGGGAGGGAGTGATGTAGGAGCAGGACAACCCATATGATTTAATTTAATTTGATAAACAATTGATATCGTATGTAAATAATATAATGTGTTCAGATGTTTTATGGATACAAAATATAATGTTTTGTGGTTATAAAATATATTGTGTTGATTAGCAAAATCTGTAACTTTCTTTAAGATATTTATTAAAGTTAATCAATCTTAACTTAACCCATAATACTAATAAAACAACCAGTAATAGATCAATTTATTTAGTTAATAACTGTAATTGACAGGTAAAAATTAATAAACAAAAACCAGTGTTCTCAAAATATAAGCTGTACTACTTCCATTTTAGCTGGTTTGTGTTAATGAAAAATAACTTGCAATGTCTGTCAAGTATACTGGAGAAAAGCAACTTTAATCAGCTTAAACTTTAACTTATAGTCCTTTTCATTTCTGTCATATATAAATACTCCATTCATAGACACACTAAAACAAGAGATATTACCATATGGGATATCAGTTTACGAATTAAGCTTCGATAGTGATAGGTAAAGTGAAAAATTAAACAAATTCAATTTTATAATTTTTTTATTTTTAATATAGTAAGTTTAAAAATAGAATATAAAATAATTTTTTTAAATTTATGAAATAACCAGTGATGATGAATAGTTTCGGATGATATTTTGGAATAAATATGTATGTTAAATTTAAAGTATAAAGTAAAAATTAAAACCATATGTTCATTTTATTTTTTTTATTCTACTTTCTTTTGAATGTAATATTTATCTTGTATCTTGTATCTTAGTTGTATGTTTATTTATTTATAAAAAAATGCCGTGAGAATGTATCACAGGCCTCTAGCACTAATTGACAGCCAATAATTTATTTACATATGCTGAACAATTATTTAAAATATATAAAGAGCACCAAATAAACTTAGTATTTACAAAGTCTTCATATAAAATAATATCCATTAGTGCTCTTCTTATTATCCATTTATTTGTTAAAGTTGTATAAAAAATACATATAATTAATACTTCTTAAAATAAATAACAAACTAATACTTCAAATGCTGATTTAATTGAGTAGAAAGTATGTAGTTGACTTAAAACTTCAGATAATCTTAATATATATTTATATACATTTCTTTTATGAAAAAATAAAAAAATATTTCAACAATCAACCAAATGCAATATTTAATTAACAATAGTGATTAACGTTTTTGAATTTATTTTAAACTTAAATCCAAACAATTGAAATTCAATACGGTAACTGTAAATAAAACGTTATATTATAAAAATGTTTATATAGCATTTGGATACATTGATTGAGGTATACGCTTAACATTAACATTATGTATATATGTACTTTAAAATATATATATTATCTATAATCACTACTATAGTACAGGCATACAACATACCAACTCATCGAGTCTTTAACTATATTAGTGAGCGCTTTTCGTTGTCATGTAAACCTCATATTACACTTTTATATTGATTAGGATGAATTAACTAAAAACAGATGAAGAGAACATAGTATTTAAAAACCCAGTTTGGTAGAGTTCATGGCACAAGGATGGATCTATTTTCTTTAAGTTGCAAACTAGGAATTCTATTTTTATTTTATCAACCACTGAGTCAATTCATCCTAATCATAATTCAGAAGTCCTTAAATTACATCTTCACACAATAATTTGAATTTGTACGTATTAAAGACGTTAATAATTCTTTGGGATGTTTTATCGGATCTGAAATGTCATTTCACTTAAAAATTTCAGGAAATTTTTTTTTTTTTCTTTTAATTTTCATTCAAAATAGCAATATTTATTTTTGATTCAGGAATGATTTTGTTTCTGATGGATAAGGCTAATAACCAAATTGCACATAATTTAATTTTTGTTATTTGTATTTTAAATGTTTGTATCATTTAATTATTTTGTAATAAATTCAAAATTTTGAATGAGATTCTGCTCAGTATATTAAAACACTAAGATTCCAAAAAGTATAATAAAATCAGAGATAACCATTTCTAAGCTAAGTTAGTAATTGTAAGGTCCATATTGAGAGCCGTGATAGTAAGGGGGTCCTGGAGCATACGCTGCTGGTGGATATCCAGGTGGGTAGGCATATTGCTGTTTCTGCGGATACACTGTAAATTTAAAAAAAATTATCGAAATATTATATTTTCATTATAAATTTTTGTTTATTAAAAAAACCCTTCAGTGCCATGCAACAACAGGTATGTTTGCCGCAGCCTCTTGCATTTCCAATTTCATAACCTCTGTAATTAATTATAGAATAGAATAGATACATTATAACATACTTAATAATATGATTTCTTTTTTTGTTTGGTCCTATGTTCTTCAATGATTTTTTATTCCTCATTTATAATTCGATAAAAAAAATTATCATGTTTAAAACTATTTATATATATGTACCTCTGAGATATAGGATAGAGGAAATATCATATTTCCTTAACTTAGAGACAGAGTTATGCAAAAATTAATTGTAATTAATAATTGACAACAACAACTAATTTAATTTTTGGTAACTTTGGAATTAGTTACACCAGTTATTACTTGAGTATATCGATTTCATAAACTATATTTCTGATAACATATCCAAACATTGGATACATATCCAAACATAAAAATCAGACACATAAATGAAATGTTAAAATCAAGAGTATTTCAGAAAATTGCATTTTAGATAACTTGGAAATGGATACTATTATAGAATTCTAATAAAATACTCATCTTAAATAGTTATGGATTGTTGAAAAATGAAAAAGTTTCTACAAATAAAATATTAATTGTTAATTTTTATTTGGCAACTATAAACAATACCGATTAGTTTTCAATTGTCAATGGCAATTTATTTACATGAATAATATAAACAGTTGTCTGTATCAACTGTAATTACCGTAATTGTTGAAGAGTTAGCAACCAATAATTAAATTATTTCCAATTAACTATTCAAAATTTAATTAATTAAAAATACCTAGTTAATGTCTAACTTTGAAAGGAAAGCAGTTTATCCCTCCAAAATAATATGATGTTATTTTACTTTCACTTACCTATATATAAAATATACAGTAAGGGAAAGTATTGTGAGCATGGAAAATTTTGATAATGAGTTTTCATTAGAAATACTCGTTTTGAGGTCCCCTAAGTCCAAATAATCAAATCTCACAAAATATTTTGTGTGTATGTGAACAGCCTAACTCCAATACCGAAATTGTCTATTTAAGGTTTGTACATGCCGGTGAAGTTACAGCAACGTTTTTGTAAAAATCGGTTAACCAGAAGTCCTCTTTATTTAGTGTTATTTTTTAAAAATGTAACTCCCTTACAACTGGTATAGGACCATCATTATCTATACCTCTTGTTCCAGCAAAAAAAGTTATGGGTAATGCTAATTTGTAAAAAACGGACAGAGTGCCTTATACCTCAGAGGTAAAGATGTGAAAGAATGAATGAAAACAGCATTAGTAAAAATTTGTTATTGAACCCATGTCAGAAATTTTAAAGATCGAATCTTAATTATCCTTAAGAGCATCCAGCCCTTAAATATCATACCAAACCAATAAGTAAAATAGATGATTAACCAGAAAACAAAATTGTTCAACAAAAAAAAAAATCTTTTTAAGTTGTATCGTTTTCATTCTGAATGTGAACCATATATCAGTCTAAAACTTACAAGTAAGAAATTATAAGGATCTAAATTGTTTTTAATAAATAACTTAAATAAATATGTATTTTACATTTAAAAAATCGTTATTGAAAATATGTATACATTAAATTGACAGACAATTGTTTTGTAGTACTTTTTATGTCAGAATTTCATTGATGAAAAAAAAAATTGTATTTGAAAAAAAGTTTAATGAAATAAAACTGAACAGTTAAGGATAATTTTTTAGAAAACAAAAAGCCAACAGATTTTTCATATGACGAAAAATACATATTTTTGGTTCTGATAATGGATTATTTTACATTTCACTTAAAAGTTATAGCCCTGTATAGATAATAGAAATAAAATAAAATCCTAATTACATGTAATTTCATAGCAATATCAATGTTATAATAATTTTTTTTATACTACAAAATTATATTCTTCTAGATTATCAAAATGCCTAGCACTGAATGGGTTATTTTAAAAACAGAAAAATATAATAAGAGCTAATAGATATTAATTTACAACATCTAAATGTAAAATTAATTGATGAATTAATAATTGAATGAATGAAATTATGAGTTATAAACTTGAAAGAAGAAAAACTCTAGTGCTAAAAGTCGGTGCAAAATCATTTAAATTACGTGAAAAATATGAATCAGAATGAAAAATAACTATATATTGTGCATTTGAAAGATTCATAAGAGTAGTGTGTCAAGGAACAGTTTGCTTGTTACATTTTTGTTAATGAGATGAAATAAAAATTATAATAAGAAAAATAAAACATGTTTTACAAAATTAGGCCTCAAAATATTAATTGGTTAAGATACTATGAAGCAGAAGCTTCTCTAATGGTTATAAAAAATGAAAAAGATCAGAGCATTTGTTTTAATCTGAATGAAAAGACTCATTTCACTGTTATCTCTGAATAATGAGCCAACTGTTGGATACCGATGATGTAGATTGTGTTATTTTTTTAATTGCTCAGCATGAAGTTTACACTAGTACATTCATTAGTGAAGTTGAGAGGACCATCCTGTCTTAGTTTTTAAGGACTCGATAACAAGCACTTCGTTTAATTTGAAAAAGAATACCCAATACTAAATTATCGGGTGACTTCACAAATTCATAATTTGTACACTGAAAAAACAAAATTATAGCTGTGGTGTATCAGATTTGTTTTTATAATTGTGGTTTCATTATGCATTACAAATAATGAAGAAATATTTACTCAATTGAAAATTCATTCATTTGACAATTTGGTCAAATATGACTCGAGAATTAACATTTATTAAGAGGAGGAAGAGGGTGTACCGGGCATTAAATACTGCATATTGACAGTTTCCTCCTTCATTCTCTCACTGCGTAGGCAGATGGCTGCTCCAGAGAATAGAACAGCACTCACAAAAGAGAAACCAACTCCACTCCAGACAAGGAAGAATGACCAATCGTAGACAGTGATAGATGCATCTCTAAGGACCTAGTTAGTTAAAACAAACTACAGGTTTAGTACATGCTAAGTAAATAGTAGATAATGAGGAAATTATTGGATGAGTACCACCAAAGAATGCTTTTTTTGAATTTCTACAATATGAATTTTTGGTAAATATGTTCATTAAATACCATAATTATTTTTAGCGAGGACTGAAATTTTCAATGTTTTGTTTTCATTTTGTCTCAAGTGTTTCTTTTTTTATTATATGAATGTTTTTTTTGTATTGTATACTTGTAATTGTATTTGAAACATATGTCTAAAGAAATTATTTCACAGTTGCTATGTTATGGGGAGGTTAACAGAACATTTTTAATTGATCAAGAATGTTCACCTCAAAAATACAATCTAGAAGAGTTAAACTGTTTATAGACTGTGTGAACTAAGTCACAATCTCAATAGATTGCCAATTGTAAAAATTATATTTGTTGACTTGTACAATGGTGTGTTATTGTAAAGTATTTAAAATAACATTACCACTTTATAGAGGCTGGGTTTGCCCCAGGAGAGTTTCCCGGCCCAATGGTTGACCCACGGCTGATGAAAAATTAAATTTTACTTAAATATAAAATCGAATTTCCATAATGATTACGAAAAATACATAACTCAAGGACAAAAAATGAAAAAAAAATTCTGAGAAAATCAGAAGCTTTTCTACAAAATTCTTCAAAACATGCGCAAAGAGAAAGAACCTGTTCTCAAGCGAATTAACGATAAGAAAGGAAATATCCTGACAAGCAATGAAGGAATCATGCAGAGATGGGCTAAATACTTCAAGGAACTTTAGGAAGAAAATACTGAAGACGAAAATCAAGAAGCTGGACGGTAGAACATGATGGAGATGGAAGAAGATTTTATCAGTGGAGAAGAAATTGTGGATGCTACAGTCTCGCTGAAAACAGAAAGAGCAGCAGGAATAGATAGGATTGCTCCTGAAATGATCAAGTATATGAACCAAAAGGAGATAGAAGTATTCCAGCACATTCTAAACCTTGTGTGGAAAACACAGAACATTCCAAAGGATTGGGAAGTATCTGTTATAGTACCAATATTTAAGAAAGGGAACAACAGAGAATATAAAAACCACCGGGGAATATCTCTTCTTAGTGTCCCTAGTAAAATATACTCAAAGATTTTAGAGAAAAGCCTACGAAGAACAGTGGAATTCTCCCTGAGTGAAGAACAATATGCATTTAGGCCAAATAGAAGTACCCAGGATCTTATATTTACTTTAAGACAAATTTCTGAAAAATTAATAGAAAGGGACAAAGAGATATATGCTTGTTTTGTAGACCTCACTAAGGCATTTGACTGAGTGAAGAAGCAAGACATAGCAAAAGCTTTAGAAGGCCCAAGGCATCGAAACGAGCCTCTGGCAAACGCAATTCTAATTCTCTATAAGACCCAAAGAAACTTTGAGAGAACATGCAATAATATATCGGAAGAGTTCCCAACTAATCAAGGTATTAGGCAAGGGTGCAGACTAAGTCCTCTGCTATTTACACTAGTGCTAGACAATGCAATAAAAATAGCAAAACAAAATATGAGATCATATCAAATGGGATACAGAAATCTACAGCCTGTATTTTTCTTTCAGTTCACTTATGCAGACGATTTGGTGGTTTTTGGAAGCAATGGACGAAACCTGCAATTCAATCTCCCCATTCTTCAGGAAGAACTAAATAAGATAAATATGCAAATAAATGTGGAAAAAACCAAAACTATGAGGATCAGCAGAAAACAAGGAAGAGTATATAGAATAGTGCACTTGAGTGGAGTTCCATTGGAACAAATGAACAATTTTAAATACCTCGTTGACCAAATCAATGAACATGGATGGATCAACGGAGAAATAAAGGAAAGATTGAATTCTGGAGGAAGGTGCTTTAACGCCATCAAAAAAGGATTCTTGAACAAAAGAGAAGTGAGCAAGGAGACCAAAACTACAGTGTACAAAAATACTTTCCTCCTGATGACCTACTCCAGCGAGTCATGGACTCTCACCACAAAACACATCCGTCAGATTCAGGCCATGGAGATGCGATTCCTGCGTAGGGTCGAAGGAAAAACAAAGAGAGATCGCATAAGGAACTCTATAATACAGAAACATCTAAATGTAAGATCAGCCAAAACTATGATAGAGAAAAATCGTTTGAGATGGTTTGGTCATGTATCTCAAATGCCAGAGAATCGAATGGTTAGGATAGCATTGGAAAGTAAAGTGGAGGGAAGAAGACCTCAGAGAATGCCCAGGAAGACCTGGGAGGTCAGAGTGTCAAGGAGGCCTTTGACAGAAGGGATATTGACAGGAGGAGGAGGCAGCATATGGCTCAGGATCAAGAGTTGTGGATTCGGCTCTACAAAAAGACTCCTCACACCGCTCCTTGGTAGAAGAGGAAACGATTAAGAAGAAGAAGAAATATTATGTTAAATCAACATGGACATATACAGAAACTACTAGGATGTGGGAGGAGGAAGCTGCCCTACAGGAACTTGTCTGGCCTAGAAAAATAAGGATTAAAAACAATTTTTTGCTAGTCATATGACAGAATAATAATAATCAAATAGCAAAATTGTATTCTACTACCTTACATTCTAGTTAAATTTTTGGCTGTTGTGATGGTAGAAATCTTGATGTTCTCTATTCCACATTTTTTTTTTCTTTTATGCTGGTACCACACCAAAATATAATTCTCTTCAAAATTTCAAGAGCCCATAAACTTGTGCTCCTTTAAATTTTGATGGCACAATTTATGTCATACCATATCCTTCCATGCATCCTTGATTACTTTTAAGCAAAATTTATATTAAGTGTTGTTTTTTAACTTACACTCAAGTAGTAATTGTAATTGAAAAAGAATATCAATAATTAAAGCAAATACTAATTTCTCTTCTATCTTGGGTGCATCATCTGAGGGAATGGAGAAAATGCAGAATATGCAAAATTAAGTGAGCATTTACAATCTGTTTAAAGTAACAGTAAAATCCAACAGGATAAGAAGTTGCATATTTTTGCAAGTATGTTGTTACTCGTGAATGTCATGTTCGTTCAGTGTAGTTAGCATGTCTCTGAAACCTGGAGTTGTAACTTAGTTGTAAATATATTACTCAAGAATTATGGAAATCCATTGAAAGAGAATTCGTACATAGATAGCGCAGTTCATAAATATAGATATAAAAAGATAATTGGTATGAATTGGATTCTGCAGGATGCTTATAAAAGCAAATATACAAATACATCAGTAATAAGGGTGGCAAACCAGACTGTTTACTTATAGATAAAGAAGGGGGACAGGGTGGCTGAGCTGTAATAAGCCAGATAAATCGAAAATTATGGGTTCTAATTCCAGTGCCGAAGAATCTTTTAAATCTAGCATAATCCCCTCTCCCCTTCTCCAGGAAAAGCCTCAAATAGCTTAAAAGGGAAGGGATCAAATTGACAAGGTGAAAATAATAGTGTCTGATAAAGATGAATGGTGTAATACTGGAAAGTGATTCTACTTTGGGTGTCCAAATATTTAATACCAATTATTTTATGGTTAACGTAATATAATGAAGAAATGTTTAATCAATTTATTTGATTTGATTTGAAAATATTTGCAATACTAGTAAAAATGCAGTACTAGACACATTTTTTAATATAATTAACTAGAAAAGTTTTATTGTAGATTTCCAAAAGAGCATTTCAATGGAGCACATAGTATTTGTGAAATTATGAGAATAACCATTGATAGAAATGTGCAATGTTAGTGAGAACTGAAGCTGCGAGTTTCACCTGCCATGGTGCCTGTAACTACTTACTACCCATTATATACTGCATTCCTGGTAGGTCGTTTTCCTTCCTCAGATCAGAACTGACACAACATGCGGATATAAAGAAGAGAAATGACGATACAAACATGGTTGCTATACTAGTCCAGCACAAGGTGTAGGACCAATCATACCATACCAGTGATTCTTCTTTAAGTACCTGTGGGCATTCTATTTGTTTCATCACCATTCACACATTTCAGGTTCTTTGGAGGATTCACAAACTGACAGTTAATTTTTATTTATTTAGAACAACCACAAAATAAATTGAAATTAACATAACTGAAAATATTATTTAAAAGAAAGCAACTATAGGAAAACACTTTAAAAAAATCTAAATTTTAATTTAATATGAAATCTTTTTAAGAGGATTGTTTTCAATGCTCACATTTAAATAGTTCATGATTTAATTTCTGGAGCAATAATTAACTTCTTACAAAGGTGGTACTTCACTCTCACAAAATTATTTACATTACACAATAATTTTTATTATTACTTTTTACATATTTGAATTTAACTAATCAATCTAAAATAATAAATTTATTTAATAAAAATATAAACAAATAATTAATTTAATACTAACAAACTCACACTCTTGCGCACATGGAATTAAAAAAGAAAGACTTATACTAACTTAAAATAGATTTATTATTTTACATTCCAAAAATAATTGATGAGTTGTATGGTAAAATCTTATCTAAAAGGTGAAAAAATTAATTAAGAGCTATTTCCAAGCTAAATGAAATTACTTTAATCTAGTTTGCTTAATAAAACAAACAGTTTTCCAATTTTTTAAAGTGGTGTGTATGTTACCAGTGCAGTGTATATTCAAAATTTCAATGGATCTTAGTAGTTATATTTAACTCTTAACAGAGAAGATTGGCTCTCAGTGCTGGAATTGACTATTTACTGCTCATCCATAAGATATGAGAAGAAAAATTGAAAAATGTAGTTGAGCTCTTAAATGTGTAATTTGTCCAAATTTGGTAGTTGGTATTTAAGGTAATTGACTTAAAAATATAACAAAGAAAGGGTTTCATATCAATATTTTTAATTCTTTATTCTATGTAGAAATATTCGTTCCAGCAAACTAGTAAAGGAACAACATTTTATATGCACATTTTTCACAAAAACATTTAACCCTTATCCTGGCAGGTGTCTCTCAGGACACCAGTTTTCTACAAGCCGATTTTCTCAATTTTTCAGCTTCAACACCAATGCTCTGTGGTTTTTTACTATATTTATCATGTTGGCAAAATGTCATGCGCTTGGCAACTGTGTTTTATACGGTTTACTTATGGAAAGGTTATTCCTCCTTATGGTGTTCACCAAGATGCCTTTTCACGGAAAGAAGGAAAGTTTACACTATTTTTAGCTAGTTTTTATTTGTTTTGGGGGGTTCTAGGTAGCAAATTCGAATTTTGCATATGGTTTTCTATAGAAAATGTCTATTGGAATTGAAAAACAGCTTAAAATGTGTTTACACCAGAAAAAAAAAAAGGGTGAACTGTAGTTCACCGTGCCAGGTTCATGAGTTGCCATGTAGGTTGAATGAGGTTCACCTTGCCAGGTTCATGTAGAACATAGTAAGTTGACTGTAGTTCACCTTGCCTGGTTCATTTACTACTGTATTACATGGTGACTTTTATTATTTGGTTATTATTGGTTATTTTTTCTGAAGAATGCTTCGATCTTATCGTTCACGAAACCAATCTATATAGCATGCAGCTATCTGGGACGCCATTGAATGTTGATAAAAATGCCATAAAAGGTTTTATTGGCATTCAATTTCTGATGGGCATAATCGATTTACCAGCCATCACTGATTTCTGGAGTAGACGCTTCAGGCAGCAAACTAGCGCGGGCATTAAGTCTCTCAAAAAGTTCTTGAAAATTAGATGTTTCATTCATTTCGCCAACAATGAAGATCAGGATGACGACCCTTTCTTCAAAATCCGTCCCATCGCCGAACTTGTCCGTCAAAACTGTATAAACGTACCTCCTGAAAAGAAATATAGTGTGGACGAAATGATGGTGCCTTATAAAGGGTCAAAGGCAGGCAGCAAAAAACAATACATGCCAAAGAAGCCCTGCAAGTGGGGATTTAAGTTATTTGTACGTTCAGGCATCTCCGTCATCGTGTATGATTTCTTTCCATACTGTGGGAGCTCATCTTTCAGGGGAATTGATTTCACGCCAAAAGAAGAAGCAATGTCCTTCTCTGCCCAGATCGTTTTGGCTTTGTGCAAATCTATTCAGGATCCACCATTGAGCACTGTCTTCTGTGATAATTTTTTCACCTCTCTCAGTATGATGGTTTACCTCCGTGAAGAGTTCGGGATTCTGGCATTGGGTACAATAAGAGCCAATCGAACTAGTAAGGCACCTTTATTATCGGAGAAGGAGATAAAGAAGAAGGGAAGGGGATGGTACGAGGAGTACAGCGACAATAAGAAGAACATTGCACTTATCCAGTGGATGGACTCGAAACCAGTACTACTGACGAGCACCTTCGTTTCAGCCGACCCTGTGGAGAAAATCCTGAGATGGTCAAAAGCAGATCGTGCTAAGGTTGAAGTTGATTGTCCACAGATTGTCAAAGAATACAATAGGCATATGGGAGGTGTGGATCTCTCGGACATGTTGATTTCTCTGTATAGGACGCCCTTCAGGTCTCATCGGTGGTACTTGCCACTCTTCGCCCAGCTGTTGGATATCTGCACGGACAATGCGTGGTTGATGTACAGGAGAAACAAGAATGTCCAGAAAGGCTCTGACATGGAGACAAATGATGATACTGGATCCAGCCAAAAAGAAAAAAAAAAGAACACCAGTACGCTGTCTTTGAAGGATTTCAGAGCTGATGTTGCGGAACAGCTCATAAGGGACACCAGAAGGAAAAAAGGTGCTTCCAAATCGCTTTTCATCAAGTCCCTAAAAAACGGATTTGACCGCTCGTCCTCGCCATCAGTGTCTGGCACAGGGAAGTTCTCTCCAAAAGCTAACTGAAGTCAAGCTGAAGTCCAACATTTCCCTTCATACACAAAAAAAGGAAAATGTAGAGAGTGCCATAAAAACCAGACGACTGTGTACTGTGAAATTTGTGACAAAAGGCTATGTTTTGTGCCTAAACGAAATTGTTACCTCAGTTACCACGGAAGACTTTGAATTTTATTCCTAAACTATTATTTGAACTCTTATAGACAGCATTTTTTTCTAAGCAGTCAAGTAGCATTTCATTTTTTATGTTCAAATTTGTGATTTATTTAAGTTTTCTTGAGTTCCTTATTGGTTTTGGTGGTGAGAATTGATTGCTTTTTCAAGAAAGTAAGTGAAATTGTGATTTTGAAATGAGACTGATATTGAAATGGTAAGACTTGAAAATGATTTAATTAAACTATAAAGTACAAATTTAAAAGGCTGGTGATTTTTACAACTTATTCAAAGTTTATTAGCTTATTTTTTTCTAATAAAGTTAACAATTAGGTTTGAGAGTTCTTTTATTTATTTAACTACCTAGCAAACAAACGTTATAGTAACCTGGCATGGTGTACCTCAGTCACTCTACTGGGTAATTCATGAACCTGGCATGGGTGACTAAAGTACACCAGTTGTTGTTACGACCATAGAAACCATAGACATGGGCGGATGCCCTATTCAAGTGTTTTTTCAGCATAAGGGAGGGCTAGAATTTGAATTCTGAAAAAAGATTGAGAAAAAAATCATTATTTCTACTTTTGCCTGAAAAAGGGTTAAGAGAAAAATGCAGGATGAATAAAAAAGAAACTTGAGCTCACTTTAATAAAACTTTTAAAAATGTGTCTTTAAAATAAAATTTGTCCAATACCTTTTTATTATTATTATTTTTTTCTAGAGATATCCTCAATTATAGCTTTGTTTGGAAAATGACTTAATAAAATACATAAATATTTTGTAAAACAAATCTTAAATTCACTTACATTATTCCATTGCTGGTAGAATTCTTCCCCTACTACACGTTCTTTCTCATAGTATTCAACTCCATGCCAAAGGCCCATTGCTCCAGCAGCAATCAGACCTTAAGAGAACAAATAATGATGCAAGATTAGTTTAAAATAATTCAATAACTTAATTTTAAAACATACGTTGTGATATCAGGAAATCACTTCAGGAAACAAATGAGGCTTAGTTGATAAACTTTTACACCACAACTACACAAAACACTTTCATTGCTGTACATATACATCACACTATCAGGAACAAAAGACTACTACTATGTCTGGATAACCTCACCAAGCCAACCTGCCTTTTGTTTACAACAAACTACAATGATAATATGCATTAACTCTACACACTCCCACCTTTACAATTAATGCTTTAAATTGTAAACTGATTTAAAATAACAATACAAAATTTAAAATATTCAATACAACAAATTTACAGGTTAAATCATTAATTTAAGAACACTTAATAAACTACTTCAACAAATGTTTTATGCTTCCTTTTTTTTAGTCTTGATAAGATCACTGGCTAATAACATTCCGAGATACATTAACCTTCTTAGCTGGCTTTTTGTTTCTTCTCTTCCAGTTTTGGAAAACTTCTTTAGAGGTCAATGAAGAATTATTTGTACCACCAGTTATTACTTGTACTCCTCTCCTTGTACTTTTCTGACTAAGATTTGGTTCTGAAGGGAACCTTTGGCTGACGACAGACCTGATATTATATCTTGTGATGCTCCAGGGAAGACTGTTTTGAGCTGCAGGTCTGGCAGATATTTTTACTTCAGAGGGTAATACAATGCGTGGAATTATTGTTTTAACTGGTACTGATCCGGTCTTCTTGGTAGTACCATCATCTAGACGACCCCTTAGTAAACTATTGTAATGGGTCGAAGATATTCCAGCTTACCCTGAATGGTGAGACTCACTTGCATTAGAGGCAAAGCGCTGTAAAGATCTCCCTCTTGTAGATGTTCTAAGCATGAACAGATCTGTGTTTTAGTTTGCCCAATAACTGTCCAACCTATAATAGTTTCTGTGGCTATCAAATTTTCAGTAATTGGTTCAAATCTTTCTGTCAAGTTTTGTTCCATGACATCTGCTGCAAGAATCAATTCTGCTTCTTGTTTGTCTCTCCCACCATCGCCATCGCTCCACATTATATCATTTTTTTCCAATATCTCTAGACATTCATCATTTGATCTAGGATATCACTGCAAATTTTTATTTTGTCCAACTTTACTCTACCAGAAAATTTACCTGTTAAATTTTCAAGTTTGACATAGTGCTCAACTTTTGTTTCAACAACAAATATAATCAACAAGATTATATGAAAGTATTTCTTCCTTTTCTTTTGGTAATTTCTCTCTTGAAGAACTGATAGTTGCTGAAATATCATCACCATGCCAAGTTTTACTTGAATGCTCAACCAAATCATTAAATTTACTTTTTATTTCTATCCATCCACTTGTCCTAATAACTTATGGATGCATTGAATCATCCTCCAGTTCTTTTTCATCAATATCTTCATCAACTAGTATCAAATCTCTTACCTTTTTTTCAAACTCTAATAGATGGTTAGTTCAGTTCTTGCTTCTAGTTTTCTAAATTCCTTTTTTAACTCGGGACCATTTTTAGCTATTTTATTTTCTACTGAAGTAGCTAAAGTTGTAAATAAATTTCTCCACGGAGCTCTTTCTAATTTGGCAGTTTTCAACTCTTCAGCACTCATTATCCTTAATTTCCCACACACAAGATATTACACTATTTAATATTATGAAATTACTTCAGGAAACAAATGAGGCTTTGTTAACTATTTGGCAGTTTTCAACTCTTCAGCACTCATTATCCTTAATTTCTCACACAAGGGATGCCACTATGTGATGTCAAGAAATCACTTCAGGAAACAAATGAGGCTGTGTTGATAAACTTTACCACGAACACTTTTATTGCTCTACATATATATCACACTAACAGGAACAAAAGACTACTACTATGTCTGGATAACCTCATAAAGCCAACCTGTCTTTTGTTTACAACAGCTACAGTGCTGTCTGATAACATGCATTAACTCTACATATGTACAATCTAATGAAGTTATATATTTTCATCAAACGTATAAGTCATGAGTAACACATTATAACATAGTCTGTCAAGTGAATTCAATTAATGTAATACATTATTTATTTTAATGTATATTTATTGGAGTTCTGCAATTGAAAATTTTATAATAAGATATTTTTATGTTGAAATTATATTATTTTCTTATGGTATAGATCAATGGTAAAGGAACTAAGTTAATAAATTTTATATAGTTTCTTAAAAACAGATAAACTTTATAAAAGATAAAGATGAAAATATTTGGTCCATTAAAAATTACAAAGAAGGTGATTAAAAAAAAGAAAGAAAAACAATTAATTTCATATTCTTACAAGCAAGAAGCATAAGAATAGCAGTTGCTGTTATGTTTCCAGGTGACCTCTTCCAACATCCAGTGATGCCAGTCCAGAAAGCTATGAAGATAGTCAAAAATGATAGAATAAAGAGAGCAATTGCTGATCGTCCCATATCTGGAAGAGAGGAAAAGTAATGATTAACTTGTTTACTGAAGAGTATGGTAGCTGTAGATAAGTGCATATTTTCATTATATTCATTCTTTTTAATTAATAATGTAACATGGCACATTTATACACTATTGATATTTTATATTATTCTTAATGGTGTCATATGTTTTCTTATAATCTTGTAATAACTTAACTGATTCATTTTTTCAAAGATAAAACAGACCACATTTTAATCAAGACTGTTTTTAGATGAAGAAAATAACTATGTTATATATACTAGTATATGTGTATCTTATGTCATTATAGTCTTTATATGTTTTTTTTTTTTAACATTTCATATTTATTTTCTTAATGTCAGTGCATCACAAAATGGCTCAACAGCCAAGAGTAGGTGTTGGCCAATGAGGAACCAGGGAGGGGGGCAGATGCCCTAGGTGGAGGAAATATATATATATATTTTTTTTTTTCTTTCCCGTTTAGACCATAAATCAGTCAATTACATGCGTTAATATTATCTGATGATGTTAATTCCAAAATACATTACCTAAAATAATGAATAAAATTTAGACACAGTGAAACCCATCGGTAAGTAAAAGAAGAGTGACAAGATTAAGCATACCGTTCCTGGAAAGAATTCTAGTTCCACAACTAGAAGAAATAATATCTATAGAAAGAAGGTTAGCTTTTTTTTATATTTATTTAACAATTTAACAATTTATTATAAAATCAGTGTTTCATTTTAGTATAAATAGTGTAAATAATAATAGTTTGTCTAAATTGATCTGATTGTTAGTAACCCATACCTGAGATAAATAGATATATTAATAATCTTATAATTTTGTTTATTATTTAATAACCTCTTATTTATTTAGGAAGTATCCCAATGGTATACAGTGGTCTGCCACGAGGTTATATTATTATTATTATTTGTAAAATATAAGAGAGATATTACAATATATATTATTTATTTTTTTTCGGTTGGCATTACAGACCATGAAAATCTTTGTCCGCGAGATGTAGTCTCCTAGACCACATCCCGATTCCCGATTTAAGTACACGGGGGTAGGGTCATCAGCCCTATGCCCGGTCGGTGTGAGTTGCCTCCAGTAGGCTGACAGATCTTATATCTTACATACCCAGGGAGTGGGGATCTCGGGTAACCTGGCTTTCCCAGGTGGGCGGTCACCCATCCAAGTGCTAACCACGCTCGGTGTTGCTTAACTTGGTTACCTATTGCAAGCGCCTTATGTTTATATATATACTGTTTTTTTATATCGGAACTTTTAGGGATAAAATGTATATTTTTACTTGACAACGTGCTCACATTTGTTATCTGAAGTACATGCATTATGCCTGCCGATGGTTGGAACTAGCCAGAGACCCCTTCTGTGGTAAGTAGTGGAATCTACCAATGATAGCCAGCACCCTAGGGAGAGGAAGCGAAGGTGACAGCAAGGGTTGATGAGGTGGCGTCCCGTGCCGCAGGCCGGAAATGCCTCTTTGGTTGGTTAGGGACTGATGAGGTAGGCTAGAACCTAGCAAATCACCCACGAGCCTGTCAGGAGGCTCTGAGGAGGCAGCCCCTATACCTGACTAGGAGGGTGAGGGCTGATAACCCTCCCCTCTGAAACTTCTTCATCCCGAGACTGGCTTTCAGAACTGGACAAATACAGACTTGACATTACTGCTTTTCAGGAGATCCGTTGGACCGGCCATGGGCTGGATTCAAACATATTAATGATCGTCTATGTACCATCCGCATCAAGGGAATCTTCTACAATTACATGCTCTTTAGCTGTCATGCACCCTCAGAAGCTTCAAGCGAAAGACGCCTTTTATGATGCCACTACGGCGCCACCACTACGGCCGAATCATTTATGTAGCCAATGGCAGGGAACCGCTCCTCTTCTAGAACTCTCAGCAACTCGTCAAATAATAGGTTCCACAGAGCGGGGCCAAGAACCGATCCTTGTGGGCATCCCCTCTCAATGGAAGCTTCAGTTTCATAGGAATTATCTCTTAACTTTATATTCATGTCCTGTAGATAGCTCATAACTGAGGAATATGTGTTGCTGGGAGCTTCATATTTTTGCAACTCCTGGAGTACCAGTGGCCACCAGATGCTGTCGATGGCAGTGGATATGTCGAAAAGCAGCAACATGACATATCTCTCCACCCTCAGTTCTAGGTCCGCACGCACTCTCAGCAGGGCATCAGCAGTTCCCTTGCCTTTCATGGACCCGTTTTGGATGACGTGTCCTAGTAAGAACTGATGTAAGACGGGTCATAATAAGGTTCTCCAGGACCTTGCTCAACACCCGATGGAGAATAATATTTCAGTGAAACTAATAAAATCCAGTCTTCCTGACCTTATTCTTGTTCTTTATTATACAACTCTACAATTTTTCATTGCAAAACTCCATTTTCCATCCCCCTAAAAAATCGCCCTAGTCTGGCCTTTGAAAAAAATTGCCAACCCTACCTCACTGCACGACTTCCGTCATATTTCTCTACTATCCAACCTTTCAAAGCCGTTAGAGCGCCTTGTCCAAAATCAGCTCTCAAACTTCCTAGAGGAACGTTCCCTTATCAACCCATTCCAATCTGGCTTTTGACCTGGCTACTCAACACAATCCGCTCTCCTTAAAATAACCCATGACCTCCAAAACTCCATTGAACACAAAAACCTTACTATCCTCATCCTTCTAGATTTTTCCAAAGCGTTTGATACAGTTGACCATAACATCCCCCTTACTGAATTGCACAAACTTCCTCTATCCAACAGTGCCCTGCGCTGGGTCAAATCCTTCCTTTCAAATCGGTCCCAGTATGTAGTCGTCCCAGGTCAACCACCATCTAAGACCCTCCCCCTCTCCTGTGGTGTCCCTAAAGGTTCCTCTCTATCTCCTACTCTGTTTGCTATCTACATCAATGACCTTCCCCTCATGATCCATCACTCCCAATACCATATCTATGCAGATGATTTCCAAATATACCTGTCCTTCCCACCCTCCGACCTATTATCTGCCACAGAGAAACTACAAGAAGACTTGGATAGGATTTGTGACTGGGCGAGAACTAACAAGTTGAAGTTGAATGCGGGAAAGACAAAGGCAATCTTAATAGGCTCCAATCACCTCTTTAAAACTGTTCCTAATATTCCAACTCTGATCCTACACAATAATTCCATCAAACTTTACCCCACCATTGAGTGGGGATTCCATATACTCCTCTATCTCCGTTGATTTTATGGTAGAAACCTTAACCAATCAACTGCACATTATCCTAGACCGTCACGCTCGTCTTAAAGTCAGGAAAATCAAGTACCCACCAATCCCTTGATTGACGCCTGCGATAAAAAATTGTATCAAACGAAGAGACGCAGCAAGACGAGGGTTTAAGCACACTCAACTCCCCGAAGACTACATGAATTTCAAGCTGCTTCGAAACAGTACGCAATCCATGATACGCCGTGCCACATCCCACTACTACCAACAATCCTTATCCAGCACATCAAACTCCAAAGCTATGTGAGCAATCCTCCGTAAATTATCCTTAGGCAAATCAACCCAAACCCAGATTACCTCTATTTCAGCTGACATACTCAACACTCATTTTGTCTCCTGTTCATCTGATCCCTCTGTCCAAGGACCCCTCATACATCCCCCCTTTAATCCCAATCATTTTTTTTTTTTCGAATTACCCCTGACGATCTCCTTAAATCCATCCCAAACCAAAGGTTTCGGACCACATAATATCCCAGTTAAATTAATTAAATCCTCACTTCCATCTATTTTCCCCAGTCCTTTATCATATCTATAATTTCTCACTACAAAGCTCCACTTTTCCCAGCACCTGGAAAACTGCTCTTGTTCGTCCTCTGAACAAAATCTCTAATCCCTCAATCCCCAATGATTTCCGTCCAATTTCCCTGTTATCTAACCTTCCAAACCTTTAGAGCGAATAGTACAATCTCAACTATCCCAATATCTTGAACAAAACAAACATTTGAACTGCTTCCAGTCTGGTTTTAGACCAGACTACTCCACTCATTGCGCCCTCATTAAAATCTCCCAAGATCTCCATACAGCCATAGATCAACAGAAACTCACCATTCTGATCCTTCTTGATTTCTCTAAAGCATTCGACTCAGTTGACCATAATATCCTCATAACCAAACTTAAAATATATCCATATCAACTAGCGCCCTTAAGTGGTTCCAATCCTTTCTCACCGATCGCTCCCAGTACGTTGTAGTTCCGAATAACCCTCAATCAATGTCTCTACCTCTGTCCAGAGGCGTCCCACAAGGTTCCTCATTATCCCCCACCCTCTTTTCCATCTACATCAATGACCTCCCTTCCTCTATCATACACTGTCAATATCACCTATACGCCGATGACGTCCAAATTTATCTTTCCTTCAACCCGACAGATTCCTCTAATGCCATCCTGAAACTGCAACAAGACATCAATAGAATATGCGCATGGGCAAATCTTAATAAACTGACATTAAATACGGAGAAGACAAAAGCCATCCTGATTGGATCCTCCTCACTCCTCAAATCCATTTCAGCACCTCCTAATCTTTTTCTGAACAATTCACCTATGTCCTTCCATACCACCGTTAAAAAATCTAGGCATTATCCTCGATCAAATCCTCTCCTGGAAACCACACATCTCCCAAATTTCCCACCGTACTATATTCACCCTGAAACAGTTTAACCATCTACGTTATCTTCTTCCATTCAAAACCCATCAACTCCTGGTCTCCTCTCTTGTTTTCCCTCACTTTGACTATGGCTGCATGGTGTACGGTGGACTCTCGGGAGAACTCGAAGCTAAACTTAAATGTTCAATGAATTGCTCAATCCGCTTTATCTTCGGGATCTCAAGGGATACGCATATTACCCAGTTCTACACCAAGTAGAAGTGGCTTTACCCGTCCTACCGCCGTCAATATTTCCTTGCTACCTTCCTATACCAAGCCATTAGAACACGGCGACCTGCCTATATTCTACAGATCCTACAATTCAAACGCTCCTTTCAATCCCGTCCCACCAGATCCCGTGCGTCCGACCTCTATCCTCCTCCTCACCGCACTGCTGCGTTTGATAAATCCTTTTTAATACAAGTTGTCTCCCTCAGGAACTCTATTCCTTCAAATATTCAACACGAAAAATCCTTATCCTCTTTCAAATCTCTCCTCTTCCAACACCTACTCCATTCCCAATCCGATTGATCACGAAATGCACTTAAAAACCAAAGCTGTAAAAACCTCAAAGTACGCCCAGATACTCTGATTACTTTGTGATTCATCGATATTTCGTTTACTTAATTGCTTTCTCAGTATATTTTATATTTACACGTATTTATATCTTTTTATTACTTATAACTTTATTGTATTCCTAATCAACCTATAAATATTAAACTGTATTTTATAGACACACCAAAATATTAATATATATTCTGTATTTGTAACTTGTTCTAAAGGGACACTAGTCCCAGAATAATAAAATTATTTTCATTCATTCATTCACCATCAAAAACCTTCGAATAACCATTGATCAAACGCTTTCGTGGAAAAACGAGATATCCAATATTTCCCGCCATACAATTTCCACCATAAAACGTCTAAATTATTCCCATCACCTAATTTCTTTTGAAACCCGTAGGATCCTAGTCACTTCCTTAATTTTTTCCCACTTTGACTATTACTGTACGGTATGTGGGGGGGGGGGGGGGAGAGGGAGAGGTCTCTGGGGATCTCGTGGCAAAACTACAACGTTTGATAAATTGCTTTGTACGATTCATCTTCGGAATCCCAACGGACGCCTCTGTTTTCCATTTTTATACGGAATTAAAGTGGCTTTATCCTTCCTACCATCGTAAGTATTTCCTTGCATCCTTGCTCTTTCAAGTCATCCATTCCCACTGTCCCTCACACAGCTCTGAGCTCCTTCAATTCAAACCCTCTGTTCGTTCCCGCAATACTCGTTCCCGGTCTTTCGATAAATCGTTCATTATCCGATCCCTCATCCCTATGGAACTCCATCCCTTCCCACATCCGTCAATCCAATACCCTTTAAATCTCGCCTGTTAAATAATTTCTTATTCATCCAGTCCCCATAAAATTGTAAATAGGTACTGCTTCAAATTAGTTTTACTCCAATTTTTTTTTATCAATTTTTTTATTTTTATTATTAACTGATCAAAATTAGAGAGTAACTTATATATATATTTTTTTCACTAAGACTATTCAATTACTCTGTATTTTTATTTATGTATCTCTGAGGCACCTCAACCCACATTTCTGTCTTACTGTATTATTCTAAAAGGACTCGTCCCAGGCATTAACGGATCCAGGATTTAATTTTGGGGGAGCTTCAGCCCGAAAGATTTTTTTTCATATAAGTATAAAAATGATTAATTAAAAAAAAAAGAAAGAAATTAACTACCTATACGAAATGATGGTTAAATGATTCTTGAAGTCCTATTAAATGTAATTAAACGAACAAGAATACTTTAAGAGATAGTTTTTAGTATTTTTTCTGTAAAACATGGTTATATTTTACCATTTTGGAGGGGGGAGGGGGGCTTCAGCCCGAAAGCCCTCCCCCCCCCCCCCGTTGATCCGCCTGTGGTCCCAGGATAAATAAAGTATTATTATTATTATATTATCTCTTTATTTTCCACATATACAATGGTGTTTAAGTTATGTAATAGTTGGGGACCTATTAGGTCAGCCAAAAATTACATTTGTATATTTTCTTAATTATTTGATATTTGTGAACTTCCTGACA